AATCCCTTCACCTCATCTTTGTTTTTTTTTAGGGTTTAGGGTTTGGGGTTTGAGGTTTAGGGTTTAGGGGTTTAGGGTTTAGGGTTTAGGGGGTTAGGGTTGAGGGTTCAAGTCAGGGTCTTTTGATCCTGCAGCCGCAGACTGCGAGATGCGCCGTACCCCACACCCCAAGTTTCCCAAACCCTGAATACACCCGAAGCCCTAAACCACCGTATGCCCTATGCGCCCAAACCCCCAACCCCCAAATCCCGACATCCTCCGTGACCCCAGAACGGTAAAACCCTGTGCACCCCAAACTCTACTTAAAGGATCATGGGACCTAGTTTTTGGGGTTATAAGTAAGGTAACTGCAGTTCTAGTTACCTCTAACCAACCGAAAGCACCCGGAAGCCCGGGGTTAGGGTTTGGGGTTTAGGGGTTTAGGGTTTAGGGTTTGGGGTTTAGGGGTTTAGGGGTTTAGGGTTTAGGGTTTCGGATTTAGAGTTGAGGGTTGAGGGTTTAGGGTTACGGTTGAGGATTTAGGGCTTATGTTTGGACCGTCAGAGGTCTAGTTCCCGAGAACCTGAACCCTGCGGTTTCGGTCTTTGTCGCTTTAAGTACGGCCCCCCTCACGGAGCTCATAGACGGGCTTGAATCATTAGGACTGATATTCCGGGAGGTCCCCACTGAATTAGAGTATAATCATTAAGGCACCACAAAACTCTATATGGGAGTTTCCGAAAATTAGGGCACCTTATTTTGGGCTCCGTGTCTACTATTTAGGGTACTATACTAGGGTCCCTATTTTCGGAAACCCCCATAAATGAGCCCTATATCAAAACTTATACCTGCAGAGCCAGAAAAAAATACATATCACGACTTCCCAGCCTTTGCTGTTTGCGCTGCAAGGTCCAGCCGGTCGCTCACCTAATGTAGGGGCCTTAAGGCTTTGGGGTACATTATGCTATGACTATAATAAGGTACCCCAAAAATGGTATTGGTAATTATTTAGGCCCCTGTACTAGGCTCTTCGCGAACAATTCAACTGAAGGTTGAGGGTTTTGAGGGCTTAAGGCTTAAGGTTTATGGTTTAAGGTTTAGGGCTTAGGATTTAGGGTTCAGGGTTTAAGGTTTAGAGGGTTACGGGTTTAGGGTTTGGGGTATTCAGAGCTTCGGGCTTGGAGTTTCGGGTATTGAGGGCTTAAGGTTTAGGGTTTAGGCACGCACTTGGAATGAGAGTCCCCATTGGTTGAACACATGAGACACCCAGTGCACTTGCGGATGGAAACACTGTTAATTAAAAGTAAATTCCCGAGTGAATCAGGGTTCAGGATTTAGGGCTTAGGAGTTTAGGGCTTACGATTTGAAGGCTTAGGAGTTGAGGGCTTCGGGCTCAGGGTATGGTTTAGGGTCTTGGGGGAAATTTAGGGTTTCTATGGAAAGTGTATACCGTTTCTTGCCATATATCCCCCACCACTGTAACTTAAACTAAAGTCGATAACAAGGGCGAGTCGCGACCACGACGCACTGCACGTCCTTGTACCTCGAAGCCGTATGACTCAGATTCAGGACATGGGGTTTCAGAGTTCTGCGACAGATCACATAGCTGCATGATTTTGAAAACAAGTCGGGTTGTGAACATGGGTCCGGACACATTTAGGTTCAAAAACCATGTTACGTTCAAGGACCCCGAAACCCCACGCCCTAGATCGTCAATTGCCTAATGTAAGTGGCTCTAATAATTTCAATAGAGTTTGGGGGGTGTAATATACTATCATTATGATAGGGAATCCCGGAAACCCTATTCTAGCTATTAAGGCCCCTATATTCAACCGCTCGGTCTCCTTTCTGAAACTCCGGATCGAATTTGCAGTCGGGTTTCGGGTGTAGTTTAGGGTTTAGGGCTTAGGGTTTAAGGTTTAGGGTTTAAGGTTTAGGGTTTAAGCTTTAGGGTTTAGTGTGTATAAGGTTTAGGGTGCAGGGCCCCCTAACAAGTTTGAGGTTTGAGGGTTTCAGCCTCCCAGAAACCTTAAATCCTAAACCCTACCACCGGTGCTGGTTTGCTGAATCCACGCTGTAATATGGAGGCCCTTAATAAATCATAACAGTATAGAATAGGGTCTTGAGGCTCACATACTATAACTCTCATAAGAAACCCCCAAATAGTTTAGGTAATATCGTCATCTTTCTAGATCCCCTTTAAAAGGAGCCCCTAAAGGAGCCCTACATTACATGGCTCCGACGTGGCTTCGAAGCTTCGGCTTTTCGGTCTTCGAAGCTTCGGGCCTCTAAGATGACTGGCTTCAAATTTTTTGGGTGTACCTATAACACACCAAAAACCTGGTTTAGGGTTTAGGGTTTAGGGTTTAGGGTTTAGGGTTTAGGGTTTAGGGTTTAGGTAGAAGCCAGAAAGTTGGAACATTGGTATCCTCATGCCCCTAAAGTAAAGCATAAGGGATCCTGGCACTACTCCTCCGAAACCCATGTTCCAACTTTCTGGCTTCTCCTGTACCTATAACACACCAAAAACCTACCTTTTTCTTCTTTTTGCAGGGTCGCCACATTAAGGGTTACGAATAAGAGCCCTGCAGAAAAGTATGTTTTGTAGAGTCCCTATCTTAGTTGCTGAGTTCATAAGCCCCCAAAAAGTGTACTCTTTTGGTTTTATCGTGGGCAACATTATCCCAAAAAGTGTAAAGTGTATCCACTCAGCTACTAAGCTATACTAAGGATTGCAGATAAAAAGCCTACAGAAAAGTATGTTTTGTAGGGTCCCTTTCTAAAGGATTGCAAACAAAAAACCCTACAGAAAAGTAGGTTTTGGTAGGGCAAGGTAGAGTCTAAGGTTTTATGGTCCAGGGGTGTAAAGGCTTTGGCAAGGACCCGGTGCCAGAAGCATTGCTTTGTTTTGAAGCCATGCAGGAGCCTTGATGATGACTAAGATCGGCAAATTTTCTAGTCGTAGCTTTACAGGTCCATCTACTCGGAGTCCAGGAGCACCTAAACATGAGCTTTTTGGCGGAATATCCTTACAAGGGGAAGGCTTCCGTACTATATGTTCATGTGCCCCCGAACTAATGTGCTTTGGCAGCTTGCATGATCTACCCAAGCCCCATTGAACCCTCTAGCGGACTCCAGCGACCCTGCAACAACCCGATCATCAAATCAAAGCTACAAAAGTCTACAAAAACAGACCCCGCTAGTTTCAGGATTTGCGTGCTGTTCCAAACTTAGCTTTTTGACCAATGCCGGGACCCGAACTCAGAAGACCCTGCAGCGTGATCCGAAATGAGCATGGCAACCACAAGCTTGTTTAAAAAGGCAGAAATCAAGAGATCACGCCGAACATCTGCACAGGGGCATCTCAAAACCCACGACATCCGGACAAGGAACGGCCTGGAGGCATAAACTCAACACCCCGCCGTCGCACTTCCAATTGTCCAACCCCGGGCTCTGATAATGACAGGCGACTTGAACGCCACGAGCGCCATGCCTTTGATCTCTTGGGAGAACAGCTGCAGGTGCGCTGACTCAGGGCTATACCCTAAGGGTCCAAAGGACCCAACAATTAGGTACTTAGGTTTCGGATAGTAGTCATGTAGGTTGCTATTTTGGAGAGTATATGATAATTAGGTACTTGGACCCTTAGGGATACTGTGAAGGGTCGAGGGTTGACCGTAATTTTCAGAGCTCAGTGTTTAGAAGGTTCAGGATCTAGGAGTTTCCAAAAATAGGGGACCCTAATATAGTACCTTAAATAGTAGGATCCTTATTATAAGGAACCCCAAATAGGGTACCCCTACTTTTCGGAAACTCCCATTTAGGTTTAGCACTTTGAGTACAGGATTTGTAGTTCAAGGCCGCGGCTTGTCCATTTGCTATTACACTTGCCGGTGTTTTTCATTCATTGAAACGCTTTCTGACCCATCTAGTCTACACCTTCACCTATTTGCCTTGTGACTTTCAGCTTGTTCTTCAAGACCTACCTACCAAGCGCACTAAGCATGAAATCACCCGACGCGTTTTACTTGGAGGGGCAGCGTTGGTAAGTAGGCTAGAAGTAGAGTTATAAGTACCCTAAATGGAGTTACCCCAACTATAACCCTACTTATAACCTACTACTTGCTAAGTCCCCAGCCCCGTAAACCCCAAAGCCATAAACTCCAAACATCCTTGACATGGGGCCCTTCGGAGCTATAGCTCCAGGAGTCTAGGGATATGGTACCGAAGAGTACACGACGAAGACAGAAAGAAGAACCACTGATCTGCTTCAACAAACACCGCCCATGAATGTCAAACCGGAACCCTGAACCACAAACCGCTGGACCCTAGAAATGCCTTGAACCGAAGACATCCTATACCACCACTACTAGCTCTTGAGATTGCATGATCACAAGAGCGGGGATATTTAGAAGCCCCACTGAAGCGGTCATGGGACTTGAAACGTACATATACTTAACCAGAGATCCCAATACCCCTTGATTAAGGAAAATACCTTAAATCATAATATTAAAGGGCCCTATAATTTAAGGTATATTCCTTGACTAAGGGGTATTGGGTTCTATACTTAGAGTTGCTCATCTCGGTATAAACGCGCTCTGACCCTCCAAGCAAGAAGGTCTTCCAGGCCTGGCCCGACCGAGGTTCCCTATAACCTTACCCTAGGGATCAAAATAGCCCAAAAGCCTGAAATAGTATGGTATGGTCTTTGGGCCCAAAAGCCTGAATATATGAGTCCTTAGATCCCTAGGGTTATACCCTTACACCTTGTAGCCCTAAACCCTATAGCCTACTTAGAGTTTAGGGTTTAGGGTTCCTACAACCCTCGGCCCACGAACGTCCCCAGGGCCCGATCCTTCATATTTGGAGGCTACATATATAGCTGTATAACAAATCTTATCTTTTTTGACTTAGAAATTTTTTCGAAAGAAACAGATACAGATACAATGAATAATGACTAATGAACTGTTACATAAAGATATAAATATATATATTCTTAAGTATTATCTAACTGTCACAAACTAGGGGCAAGCCATCTCCTTCGTCTTCCCGGAGCCCCGCGGATGGTCGAAGAGAAAGACTTGGCGCTCCTCCCAGGCAGCCACCTGGGAGTACTTGGAGGACTAGTACCTTAACTGGGATTACAAATAAAAAAAACTGTAGTCACCTTACGAAAAAACCCAAAAAATACTAGGTCTTAGGATTTGGGGTTTAGAATTTAAGGTTTAGGGTTGATAAGGATTTACGGTTTAGGGCTTATCTGGCGGTTTGGCTGGGGAAATGGGGGTTTAGGATGTAGGATTTAGGGAGTAATGGTTTGGGACACGGAGTTTAGGGTATGGGGTTTAGGGAAATGGGATCTGGGGTTTGGGAAATCGGGTTTAGGGTTTTGTTTTGGGTAAAAGTTCTTGTTGGGTCAAGCTCCATTCTGCTGAGCTTCGTTTTCCTATGTGTGAAAAGGCCCAGGAAGAGTTGGCAAGCAACGCGGCGACCCCCAAAGTACCAAAACCTTAAACCTCCTTAAACCTCAAACCTCCCTAAACTCTAAGCACTAAACCCGAAACCCAAAGCCCAAACCTCTCTAAACTCTAAGCCCTAAACCCTAAACCCAGAAGCCTAAACACGAAGCTTCGTCGCCCGAAATTTGGTAGGGAAGGAAAAAGGGTTCGGGGTTTAGAGAGGTTTACGGTTTGTTTTTTTTTCAGCACCTTTTTCCGCCTGCCTATACTACGGTTTGGGGTTTAGGCTTTTGAGTTTAAGGTTTAGGGCTTAGGGTTTAGGGGCTATGTTTGTGCGGACTCTGACAACATGGGTGCTGTTGCTCAGAGTCTCTACCGAGGTGCCTTCTTTGTTTCAGAAAGGTCCTATTCTGCCACGGAGTTGCTTGCACCGTAACGTTCCGTAAGCATTTTGGGTGTATGTATTCCTTGGGCTTACAGAAAGGAAGGAGGCTTGCGGAGATCTTTCGGGTTCAGTCGTAGGGCCATGGGCCATGGGGTTTGAGGTTTCGGGTTCAGGGTTGGCGCTCTAGGGACGGCATGACTCTTGCACCCAAAGGGTGCCACAAGTGAATCAACTCTCGAAGATCCTTGCGGGGCGTATCGAAAGAGCTGAAGCAGCTTCGGAGGTTTGTCTCGTAAGGCGGCAGGAACCACGGAAGTTGCACCAGACCCTGAACAGACTCTGAGCATCTCTCTGCAAGTAGCCCTACAGAATAATGATGAGTCCGACGGCCTGCAACACTATCTCCCTTGTACCCTCTGCCCTGTATGCAAACTTAATCATCCAGTTGCTGGGTCCGGTGCAGGATTTAAGGTTTACCGAAAACCCCAAACTGCTAGGATGTTTTGAGCCTACGTAGTACTACATTCACACTATATACAGCGGCCTTACTAAACACTTGTTCAAGCTCCGTATGAAAGGCCCTGGGGTATTCCAAGCATCCAAGCAGTCATGTTGCCCTAAATCCTAAACCCGAAACTCTAAACCCGAAACCCTAAATTCCAAATACCCTAAACCCTGCACCCTAAACTCTGGGTATTCGGGTACCCTAAACCCTAAACCCCTAAACCCTAAGCTCCCTAAAGCCTAAGCCCTAAACCCTAAACTCCCTCAACCCTAAGCTCCCTGAAGCCTAAACCCTAAACACTAAACTCTGGGTATTTGGGTACCCTAGACCCTGAGCCCTGTCCAAGCGGCGGTTTTGCAGATGGCGTCCTCCTGCCACGGCTTGGGCTTCTGCTTGTAGGCGGCCTGGAGCTTCGAAAAGGTCGGACTTTCTTGACTTAGGGGTTTAAGGGTTTAGGGGTTTAGGGTTTAGGGGTTTAGGATTTAGGGGTTTAGAGTTTCTTTGCTTCTACTTGGGGGGTCATGGGACTTAGTAAGTAGGGTTATAGGTACCTTAATTGGGGTTATAAGTAATTAGAACTGTAGTTACCGTACTTATAACCCCAGTTACTAAGTCCCATGAACCTTTAAGTACCCTGGTTCAGGGTGTAGGTTTTGGGGTTTAAAGGGTTTAGGGTTTGGGGTTTAGGTAGGGCTTAGGGTTAACATGCTGGTTTTAGTTGGGGTTCCTAAACTGGCGCTGCTGCTTGCGCTTCCGGTGATGGTGGTTCAGGTCAGCAGCAGTTCATAATATCCGTCCTCACCACGACGACGATGTCGAAGGAGCTGATAGGAGTTGTATAGACTAGAGGCAATGCACGAGTAATGGCCATCACCACAAGAGCCTTAATAGCTATGACAGCATATCCTAGACCTAAGAGTAACCTAGGAATAAAAAAGGTGCCCTTTTTGGTTTAAAGGAGTTTATAAGGGAACCTGAACCCTCAAAAAAGGGAATAAGGGTCTACTCTGGGTCCTAGTATCGGGAAAACATATCATGACAAAAATAAGAACAGTGATGATAATGTCAATTCATGATACGACAAATGCCAAGGAACCAGAGAGCATTAAGTTAAAACATAGCAGTTGTACGTACGATGTTGTGAACTTCAAACAACAAATGAAACACAACTGCAAAGCTACGATCAGAACAGCTACGTGAAAGGGAACCCCTATTGAATTATTGCCACCAGCTCGCTAAACAGCAAAAACCTCAACCCTAAGCCCCTAAACCCTACCTGTGGCCTAAAAACCCTACCGATTTAATGAAGTGTATATATATATATACATATAGATATATATATATATATAGAAGCAGGAACCCTGAAACAGGTATGGCTTTTTGATGGGCTATACAGGTAAACCCTTAGCGCTAAACCTTACACCGTAAACCCCACGCCCCAAACCCCGCTACACAACACAATCCAAAAGCGACCCCACATGGAAACCTTCGTAACGGCCAAGGACGAGGAAGAGCGAACCCAACAACAATAAGTTCTGTGACGGGTTTAATACGGGCTCCATAAGGGTATATAAAGCTCTTACGTTGAAATGGGCCGTTTGCTCCGACATCCTTCAGCCTTGGGGCTTGAGAGATTTCACCAAATCTGAAACAGCTTCCGGTTTGTCAAAGGCCTTTTATAAAAGGGATCCTTAATCCTACCTCCCTTCATCCCACCTTTGGAGGCTTCCAGTGTGGGGCCTGCGGTTAGTGTTAGAGCGTCTGGCGCGGGTGGAGGGCTTCGTTTCGTCAGAAGCTCTACTTGAAGGATCATGGGACTCAGTAATTGGGGTTATAAGGAAGGTAACTACAGTTCACTAATTACATATAACCCAAATTAAGGTACTTATAACTCTACTTACTATAAGTCCCATGACCCTTTACGTAGGAGAGCATGATGGATGATTCTTCGCGTCTCGGCTCCCTGAACCCTTTAGGGTTTTAGGGTTTAGGGCTACGGGTTTAGGGTTTAGGGTTTGGGGTTTGGGGTTTAGGGTTTGGGGTTTGGGGCTTTGGGTTTAGGGCTTAGGGTTAAGGGTTAAGGGTTACGGGTTTAGGGTTTAAGGTTTAGGGTTTTGGGTTACGGGTTTAGGGCTTAGGGGTTTAGGGTTACGGGTTTAGGGTGAAGGGTTTAGGGTTAAAGTTACGGGTTTACGGTTTAGGGTTACGGGTTTAGGTTTTAATGTGACATTTAACCCTAAACTCAATTTAACCCTAAACTCAAGACCATTCAACCAAGAGGCCTTCATTGCCCTCTCCATGCAGCCTTTCACCGAGCGGGCGGACACCGACATGGCGTTCGTGATGACTTGCGTGTCCAGAATCGTGCGGAAACGACCCTCCGGGCAGATGCGGCTGCGGACTGCGCACACATCTGCGTTTAGGGTGTGTGGCTCCATCCAGGGCGGTTGCGTTATACATAAGGGTTTGTAGGGTTTTTACGAAGTTGCATACATGGCTCGGAATACTCACCACTAGTAGCTATACCCTGCTTCTAGCCCTTCAAGCTATACTCAAATGCACCCCCGCGACCTGAGTCCATTGACTGTTGTCACCCCGGCCCCACATAAAGCCTCCATACCCTGGACCGTCAACCCTGAACTGTAAACCCTAACCCTGCACCCCAAAATAAACGCCTGAGGCCACGGCCCTGACCTAGCAACCTTCATTGATGTTGGATCTAGTTTAAGGCTTTAAACTTTTTTTGTAGGGTCTAGGGCTTGAAGCAGGTTTATGCTACACCCCCTTCTGTTGATGTTCGATCTCGGTTAAGGCTTTCAGGAATCGGGGTTGATGGCTTACGGTTGAGAAGAGAAGACTATGAAACACTCTCGACAAACAAGATCAAATCCGTAAATTAGGTGCTGGCTCCCCACACTTTTTATGGGTTACTACATATGAACCCCAAAAAGGAATTATGTATTGTGGAGCTTGTAGGCAAAGACTAAAGCCACAAACTTCGAATCTCAACACCCGAGGCCCATCATGAACTGCGTAACGCCAATACAGACATCGACATTCATGAACTCTCTGGAAACCCTGTGTAAAGCTATGGCGCCCCTGTAAAGCCCAGTAGAACCCTATGACTGCACTGTTCAAAAGCTAGAAACCCAAGAAACCAAACGTTTGAAAGGCATCAAAAGCCACGGATCTTTAAAGGCTTCGGGTGCAGAGGACTTAGTTTACGCTCTCGAGTTGGGCACGTCAGGGCTTCAAGGGTTAAGGGCTTAGATTGGAGATCTGGGAATTTGGGCTTTGGGTGTCTAAGGTTCAGGAATTTTATATATACATATATATATATATATAACGCGTTTATATATGTGTATATATATATAATCATTTGTAGACAGAGAGAGGGTCTGGATGATTGGAATAGGTCTAGTGTAGCGCAAAGGGTATATTGCTACTGAATATTCACAACCCCATTTTAGGTTTCGCGATGATGCTTCGGGATTCAGAGATTCAGGGGTTTTCAGGGTAATTATAGAGAGATCACCGAATACTCGACCTTAAGGGTCTTGATTCCGGGCATGCGAACTGAAGCCTCCAGCGTTTTCTCTTCACGGCACAGTCATGCGTCCTAAAATTGACGCCCTAAACCCTAAAGCCGCCAACTTCTCATCCCAATCGCTTCGCGAATTTTCGCAAGGCCTGGAGCAAAAGACGGGTTTCGGGTGCGGCCTCGATCGACGAGTTGCACTACTTGGAGGGGCAGGGGACTTGGTAAGTAGGTTAAAAGTAGGGTTATAATTGGGGTAACTCCATTTAGGGTACTTATAACTCTACTTATAACCTACTTACTAAGTCCCCTGCCCCTCCAAGTATCGAGTATCCGCAAATATCCGGTCACTAACGATGCCCCCAGAGACTCCAATATCCCTCAATTAAGGAATATTCCTTAAATCATAATTAGGGATCCTGTTATCATTTAAGGTATACTCCTTAATAAGCTGATATTGGAGGCCTGGCCTGTTTGGCTGGGTTAGCAAGACTGACACTACTTGCTCAGTAGCTGGCTTCTTGAGAGTCGAGAGCGAGGGCTTCACGGTTGGCAGAGCTTACGGTTAAGGTTTAGGGTTTAGGGTTTAGGGTTTAGGGTTTAGCGTTTAGGGTTTAGGGTTTAGGGACTTCACCTGCATCGGCTTGAGTGTCCAATGTACTTGCAAGGATATGGCAACTCAGAAAACAACAAACTCGGTTTCCTACCCGCTAATTCTAGGACCCTTTCTGTGACAATCCCCAAGAGCGAGTTACCAAATTGTCAGAAACCCCAAAACAGGCCTCCTGAGTTCACCAACGACCAAGTCAATCAGCACTTGGCGGTGAAGTCACATCTGTTTACCATGGGTCTTGGCAAAAGTGATCCTGGTAGAGGCCAGTGCTCTGTCTAGGTTGGGAGCACACAGAACATCGCTTTTCACTCTCAAAGGCATGGCAGTTTGGGATTTAGGCTCTCTCCTTTTGAAACATTATCTCGAGGTTCCCCGAACTAGCTGCGCTCCTAACCTAGGGAACGCCCCAAACCCTCCACCCTTGCTTAATGAGCGCATGCTTGACTTCGAGTTTGAGGAGGTTCTCGGCATTCTTGGAAGAGAACCTCCACACTCCCCTCTCCTGCTTCCACTGTTCCGGGACATGCAGATTATACTTAAGCTTCGAAACTGGGAGAAAGAACAACCAATCAAGACACTAATCCAAAACCACTGCCACTCAAAACTAACCCCGAAGGCCAACCTGACCTCAAGCACGCCGTCTTCCATGACTGTACCCTAAACCCCAAACCCACATAAACGTTATACAAGATGTGACAAACAACACCCGCAGAAAACGGAAGTCCCAAAGCCCTAAACCCCCACACCGCCGAGGCCGCGGCGTATCGGGCACTGCGGAGAATGCCAGAGCTCAGGACCCCTGATTTGGGTTTAGGGTTTAGGGATTAGGGATTATAGGGGGCGTGAAATGTAGGGCTTCATGGTTTAGGGTTTTGGGTGTTATAGGAGGCTGAAATTTAAGGCTTTGGGGATTTCGGACTTACAGAATGGGCCGCTTGGTTTATTTATTGGGGCCTGAAATACGGATTTAATGTTTTGGGTTTGGGGTTTGTTTTTTTGCAGGCCTGACACTTAGGGCTTTAGGGATTTAGGATTCAGGGTTATGGGTTTTGTTAGCGCCTGAAATGACTTGAATGGGGATACTGCGAAGGGCCTTAAGCATTAGGACTGCGTTTTCGGGCGGCTTTCCGACACGACTCCCAAATTAGGCTTCAGGATTTAGGGTTCAGGGTTGGTTTAAGGCCCATGGTCTCGGCCTTTCAGAGTTTGAGATTGTTGATTTTGGGTCTTAGGTGTAGGGTCAGGGCAGTTAGGGTGTAGGGAAGCGCGTTTCGTTGCGGGCGGATTCTTCAGCAAGACGTTCAGGGTCTTCGCTATAGCCACACATCGCGATCACAACAACTAACTGCTACAGGTCCCAGAAAGCCCAGTACTCCTTAGTTAAGGAATTTAGCTTAAATCATAATCTGAAGGCCTATATAGTTTAAGCCATATTCCTTAGTTAAGGGGTATTGGGCTCTCCGGTGTCTTCCACGACAAGCCGAGCCCAGGGCAAAACCAACGAAGCGCTAGAACCCGCCGCGTAAACCCTAAACGCTAAACCCTAAATCTACAACCGATTCGAAACCCCCAGCCGGTTTGGGGCTGTGGACCCCTAGGCACCCATGGTGGTAGTTCCTTCTTGGGGGTTCATATTTAGAATGAAATAAGGTAATCCCAAAAAAGGAACTACTATGGGGCCTATAATCTTGTAAGGCAATCCCCAGAAGGAACTACTATGGGGCCATATGGGGCCTAGGGGTATAAGGTTCAGGGACTACGCCTCCCCCCCCGCCGCGAGTTCGAAGCCCCGAACCTGAAAACACCCTGTGCCTCCAAACCGTCTAGGGGTTTAGCGTTTAGGGTTTAGGGTTTAAGCTTTAGGGTTTAGGGTTTAGGCTTTAGGGTTTAGGCTTTAGGCTTTCGGGTTAAAGCTTTAGGCGTTAGGGTTTAGGGTTTATAGGGTTCAGGAACCCTGAAGATACAAGAAAGGAAAGACTTAAACCCTGAAAGCGCTAGAGCACCGTAGGAGCCTTAATCACTAGAATAGGGTTTAGGGTTTAGGGTTTAGGGGTTTAGGGTTTAGGGTATACTTATAATCAGGAATCCTAAGGAAGACTGTCGGTAATTCTGTTCATGGTATAAATCCTGCATTACCCATAGTAAGGGATATACCCTTATTCCCATAGTTTAGGGTCCTTAAGGTCATGCAGGATTTATATCATAGACCACCCCGTGGGAGGCCAACAGGGGGGTTTAAGATTCTTGGGGTAGGGATCCCTTAGGGTTTAGGGTTTAGGGTTTTAGGATTTAGGGTTTAGGGTTTAGGGGTTTAGGGTGTAAGATTCTTGGGGTAGGGATATGTTAGGGTTTAGGGTTTAGGGTCTAGAGTTTAGGGCCTAGGGGCTTAGGGTTTAAGATTCTTGGATTCCTTAATATGAACCCTATGACGGGAACCCTAATCCCTACTAAACCCCAATGGGCTAAAACCCCTTTTGGCCGATTATGAGCAAGGACTCATGCCATCACCCTAAACCCTAAACCCTAAACCCTAACCCTGTGCCTTTTGCGGCTTGCTGCAGTGAGGCCCGACGAACCTGGGGCATGACGGCTTCGTGGGAGTTCATGGCGTGTTCCAGGGTTTTCTTAGGGTTTAGGGGTTTAGGGGTTTAGGGTTTAGGGGTTCACGGTTTAGGGGTTTAGGGGTTTAGGGTTCGGGGTTCACCGTTGGCTCATATCTGTATACATATCTTTATGTAGGGCTCTACAGGGCTTTCGGAACTGTGCTGACTGTAGAGATTCACAATCCTTATACAGGGTTTAGGGTTAGGTCCCGGCTCACGACCCGCCTTCGCTGCCCCCCCGCCCAGCCCAACGGCCCGGAAGGGAGAAGGCTGCGTCGGCAGGAGATTTGGACACAGCACCGCAAAACTTCACGAGTGCGAGCATGCGCGGCCCTGGCTTCATTTTGCTCCGCAGGCTCCAGACCTCCAGCTAAAGGTGTTCGACGGCGGAGCCTGACATCCTTGTTGCCGTCACCCCAGCTCTCACCCCGCAAATGAGAAGGTCGCGCTGCTCAGGACTGAGCCGCCGTAGGTTCGCAAGCAAAGATAGCAGCAGGGTGCCCCCGCTCAACCCGAAACACTAAAACCCTAGACCCTAAGCTCGAAACCCTAAAACGCAAATCCAAAGGGGGTTTCCGA